AACAAACAAGTGTACTTAGAACATTCTTGTGCCTTGCTCATTAAACGCTACACAGGGCAGACACTTGGGTAGTTCAGGCAGTTAAGCGTCCAGCTTCAGCTCATGGCTCGTGAGTTCAAGCCCCACATCGGGCTCTCTGCTATCAGCACAGAGCCCACTTCAGATCCTCTACTCCCCTCTCTTTCTGCCTCCCTGTCTCTCTCTCAATAAATAAGTAAACTTAAAAAACAACAACAACAACACTACACAGAGTTCAGATCCATCTTCACTGTGCATGTCCTTGTCACATATTATAGTTGAGACACATTTTCCTTTTATTGAAAGATTTGAGTAGTTCTTACCTTACTAATTTTCTAAGAAATACATGTAGCTTTTGGAATGTATGTGTGATTCACCTTTGCAATAAAAATTGTCTATCTCAGACTTTTAAATCTGTTTAATTGAAGAGAACCAGAAATAGAAAGCAAGCTATTGAATTATTATTACTTGCAATTAAATTACATAGATGAATCTAAGTTTTTCTTATAATACAACCAAAAGAAACAATTCAAATAAGCTAAATGATAAGCTAGTTATCATTCATAACCTTTTAGTGAGGAGTCTCTTAATTGCAAATAACAAAGACCCAACTCAGAGTAGCTTGAGCAGAGTAGGAATTTGTTGGCTCAGGTAACCAATCGCAGAAAGGACAAGGGTGTACTTATTCAGGAACTACCCAGTCTGAAGACATTCCCTGTCCCTCCCTTCTGCTTCCCCTTTCCTACCTCCACTCTGGCAAATTTCTCATCACTGCTTTTCCTTGTGAGTTGGTGTAAAACTCTTCTACTGAAGACAGACTTTCTCTCTTTGGTAGGAAGATTAGCCATTTGCTATAGCCATTTGGCTATTTTTGACTCAGCTTCCATCCCAGGGATCACCTACTCTAGGTCAAATGTCATTAGTAAATGTTAGCTGTCTGTGTCAGTTATATTTATTACTATTTGAACGAAAAGAGAGGGAAGAACATTCCAAGCCAAGAAAATAACTTAACTGGAAACATAAAAGTGAATGGCATTCTCTAAAATGGCTCAGTCTGGTTGGGATGTAGAGTACAATGGAGATGATAATGATGAGAGATAGTGCCAATGAGAAGCAGTTTGGGACTAGATGGTAAAGGAACATAGATACCAGCTAAAGAATTTTGACTTTTCAGAATATACAGTGGAAGGCATTGAGAAAAATCATGGCATCACTTTTTTCCCTAATCTCATATTCAGGCTTTCTTTTTATTTTTTTAATGGAAAATTCTCAACATACCCTGCAATAGAAAGAGTAGTATAATGGCCCCCATGTATTCATTGCCTAGCTTTAACGGTTATCAATATGTGGCCAATCCATTGAAGATTTTTGAAGAAGGCAAGAAAGGAGATTAACATTGTGTCACTTCCTTTACTTCAGTTAATCTTCACAATGTGCCTGTGGAGTATGTTGTATTCTCACTTTCCCCAGTTACAAATGAGTAAACCATCAAAATGATGACGTAAGTAACAGTGCTTGGATTCTAACCCACATCCAACTTACTTCAGAACTCAAGTTCTTTCCCGTACTGCATAATGCTGCCTCTAATTATGATGTAGGACATTAGTCTGTTAAAAATAGCTGCTGTTCTTCTGTACTGCTCTACTGGGGCTGTTGACCCTATTCAGGATGGTAGACTTCTCTGCCTCTAGCATTCTGCTTCTACAGGGTCACCAGGATCTGAGTCTGTGTAAGTGTTCAACCTAATCAGTTGAAATGACCATTTAATCCAGTGATTCTCAAAGTATGGTCCCCAGACAAACAGCAAGTTGTTAGAAAATGTCAATTCTCAACTCCCCACCACCACCCCAAGCCTACTGAATCAGAAATTCAGAGGCTGGGAGCTCATGATGCCTATACTGCTATTTGCTGTGTGTAAATAAAATCCTCCAGTTGTTTCCTACAAACATGAGATTAAGACCATCTACCAAGAACATTTCTTTTTTTTTTCTTTTTTACAAATAGTTTATTGTCAAATTAGTTTCCACATAACACCCAGTGCTCATCCCCACTAGTGCCCTCCTCCATGCCCATCCCCCCTCCCCCCACATCCATCAGTCCTCAATTTTTGTCAGCATTCAAGAGTCTCTCATGGTTTGCCTCTCTCCCTTTCCCCCACCATTTCCCCCCTTCTTCTCCCCTTGTTCCTCAGTTAAGTTCCTCCTGATCCTCCTATACGTGCAAACATACGATATTTGTCCTTTTCTGCCTGACATATTTTGCTCAGCATAACACCCTCAAGGTCCATCCATGTTGCTACACATGGCCAGATTTCATTGTTTCTCATTGCCATATAGTATTCCATGGTATAGATAAACCACATCTTCTGGATCCATTCGTCCGTTGATGGACACTTAGGCTCTTTCCATGTTTTAGCTATTGTGGAGAGTGCTGCTATGAACATTGGGGTACATGTGCTCCTATGCCTCAGCATTTCTGTATCCCTTGGGTAAATTCCTAGCAGTGCTATTGCTGGGTCCTAGGGGAGTTCTATTGTTAGTTTCCTGAGGCACCTCCACACTGTTTTCCAGAGGGGCTGAACCAGTTTACATTCCCACCAACAGTGTAGGAGGGTGCCCGTTTCTCCACATCCTACCAAGAACATTTCTAAGGCAAAGCCGTATCAGAAGAATTTATGTGTTTCTTTTTTTAACAAGCTCATGAAAAGCATGTCTTAGGAATTCATATTCAGACAATACCAGCAGTCTCTCTGGGGATGTTACATGACTATGTGAAAAGGAATTTTAAGGCATTTGCACTGCCTATATTTAAAGTGCTTGTTGCTGCCATCTGGTGGAGTAAGCACTACAGAATGTGCAGCTTTATTACTTAGTGCTTCGGGGATAAGTGTGTATTTTTTAAAAATAAGTTTTATAGTAAAAGTTTAATGGAATAGCTAGACATAAGCTGTACAAAGAATTTTTTTACTATGAACCCTCCATTGAGGATTCTCAGATATGATACCAGAACACAAGTAACAAAAGGAAAATAGCTAAATTAGATTTCATCAAAATAAGAATTTTTTGTGCATCAAGAGACACTATCAAGAAAGTGAAAAGACAGCCCACAAAATAAGAGAATATATTTGGATTTCATACATCTGATAAGATACATGTGTCTGATTATATGAAGAACTCTTACAGTTCCACAACAAAAAGACAAACAGCCCAATTTAAAAACAAATGAAGGACTTGAATAGACATTTCTCCAAGGACAACATACAAATGGCCAATAAGCCCATGAAAAGATACTCAACATTATTAGTCATTAGAGAAATGTAAGTCAAAACCACAAGGAGATACTACTTGTATGCCTTGAATAATTAAAAAAACAAAAACAAAAACCAGAAAATAACAAACACTGATGAGGATGTAGAGAAATTGGAACCTTTAAACATTGCTAATGGGGATATAAGATGGTGCAGCTACTGTGGACAAGTTTGGCAGTTCCTCCGATAGTTAGACATAGAATTACCATAGGATCCAGCAATTTCACTACTAGGCATATACCCAGAGAATTGGAAACAATGTTCAAATAAAAACTTATGCATAAATGTTCATAGCAGCATTATCCATAAAAGCCAGAAAATGGAAACAATCCAAATGCCCATCAGTGAATGAATGGATACAAAATGTGGTATATCCATATTAGAGACTATTATTCAGCCATAAAAAGAAATAAGTATTATACACTGATGAACCTTGAAAATATTATGCTTTGTGATAGAGGCAGGCACAAAATGACATGTTATATGGTTCTGTTTATATGAAATGTCTAGAATAGGCAAACCTTTAGAGATAGAAAGATTAATCGTTGCCACGGTTGGGGGGGAGGCGGGAGACGGAGGAATGGGAGTCACCACTAGTGGATTTGGGATTTCTTTTGGGGGCAGTGCAAATATGCTGGAAGTAGATAGTACTGGTGATTATACAACATTGTGAATGTACTAAAAGCCACTGAATTGTATACTTTAAAATACATAAAGTGGTGGATTTTATGTTGTTTATGTTGAGAAATTTTACCTCAATTTCTAAGAAAACTTCCATTGATTGGCAGGATACCAGAACTTTTTTTTTATTTTTGTTATTATTATAGATATTTTTCCCATAGTTGTTGCTAATATGTATGCTGTTTGTTCTACTAAAATTATTTTGTACCTACTTTTGAAACTGTATAGTTACCACAGTTTTTGTTGGTGTGTGTGTATATATATATATATATACACACACACATATATATATATATATATGTGGCCTAATTATTTTAGGCTATATATCATAGCCTAATTATTTTTCAAATGTTTGGTGGTTTTCTTTTTTTTCTTTCAATTTCAGTGAATCCTACTCTAAATGCTTAAACAAAGAAGAGTGTTTAAACCTCTTTATAGACATTTCATTGGTGTTTCTTCTTCAAAACTGCATTTCTGAATCCCTTTTTTTAACCATTGCTATTTTGTTTTTTTTTCTGACTGCTCTATAGTAAGAATATATTAATTTATAATCCTTCCAACAATGGATGAGGGAAAAAATGGAGGAGATTTATGTTTTCACATCTACTCTGTTTCAGGCACTGTGCCAAGATCCTTTCACATCCACAGTTTTATTCAACTCCCACCCCTACTCTGTTATAAAATGACTACTGTGGTTGATGGCAGTTAATAAACAGATGAAAAAAGATCAGAACCCAACCACTTTGTCTCCAAGTTTGTCCTGTTTCCAGAGCTTTACCAGTATTGGATTTTATCTTTTTTAGTTCCTATTTATCAGAATCAGCATTTTCCCAAGCAATGGTTTACTGTTTATAAGTACGCTTATGTAACAATCTTTATCTTTTGTCCATTTATTATTAATGGATTTTTAACTAAATTTACTTTGTAAACAGTAGGTGTTCTTTATCAAAGCTTTGTCATAATTTTTTTGCTTTTGTTTATTACTCTCTTACAGGCTCTTGATGGAAATGTATACGATCACCTGAAGGATTATTTAATAGCCTTCAGCCGGACTGAGCTAGAGACGTGCCAAGCTGTGCAGAACACATTCCAGTTTTTATTAGAAACCTCCAGCAAGGTAAGTTACCTTTAGTGAAATATGTGATGTTCTCCATTTGAGAATCTAAAATTATTTTTGCTACAAACAAAATGAAGTCACTAATACTTCAGAAGAATGCTTTAAAGGGCAAATTTCCTGGAAACAGTGCGCATTCTAACAAAGTTGCATGGTGTTCTTGATGAGTTGGCACAAGGGGAAAAAGGAAGGTGATGGTACAAGCTGGTGCAGGACATCATCCTGCTGCCATATTACTTTTCAGATGAAATGATTTTAAGAATTCTACCCTCGGGGTATTTGTCTGACTCAGGCAGAAGAGCATGTGGCTCTTGATCTCAGAGTTGTAAGTTCAAGCCCCATGTTAGGTATAAAGAGTACTTAAAAATAAAATCTTTAAAAGAAAAAAAAGAATTTTACCTTCCACTCAAATAAATTTTGGATGCACTCAACGCATTCATATGTGAGGACAACAAGGTCATGTGTCAGTGTAAAGAATAAGAAAAGGGTACAGAAGGGAAGGTAGCGTCTTATTATTGATCAAGAAATGAAGACTTTATCTTGTTTTTTAAAAATTAATCTTACCTCCTATATGCTGTCATTTTTTGATAATAATCCTTTTATTTAAAAGTGTTAGGACCCAGCAACTTTGCACCATGTGCAGAAAAAATAAACAAAATTGCTTTTCTTCAGGATCCTGACATTAAAATTTTTTGCAGCAGAAAAACTGTCCTTTTGAAGATAATTTGTTCTTGTGATTAGTATTTTTTTTATTTGGATACATTAAATGCATAGTAAATATTTCCTGACCAAGTTCATGCATTTGTAAAACTATATTCATTTTGTAACTGCTATTTTTAAAGACCTAGTTCAATCCTCTTTTTTGGCAGGGGAAGCAGGAACTGGCTAATACCTTAAGAAAGTGTTTGGAAAGGAATCAGGGTTTCTTT